TTTCCAAGTCTAATCTATGAATCCATCTTAAAATTGCTTTGTAAAAAAGCATTTAGTAAAAAAGGCCTGGAGATAAATGTTTTTAACAAAACTTTTTGAGAAGTATTTCACTTTATGCACTGGCTTTATTTCTAGCATTTCTGTACATTGAAGAAACTATTATTTAAATCAATGACTCTTTGACTCTAATATTGATTTGTTTGAAAATTTGATAAAAATAAAAAGCATTTCTCAGTTAGGTTTATTCAAGAAATTTGCCATGTTAGCAGATTAAAAGAAAAATATAATAATCAACAGATAAAAATAAAAAGCATTTGATAAAAATTCAACACTCATTCATTTATACATACACAGAAATACGCACACATGTTTTAACAAACTAGGAATAGAAAGCAACTGCTTTAATTTGATACAGGGTATTTATTTAAAAAACAAACAACCAAAAGAAAACTTAGAGCAAAGATATACTAATGATGAAATGTTCAGTTTCCCCTCAATAATGGGAATGAGATAACCCCTGCACTATTGATACGTAGAAAGAAATAACAACTAGTGGTAAGAAAAAAGACATTAGAATAGGGGTCAAATTAAGATGAATTCTGAAGGACAAAAAATTTTTAATGAAACACTTTCTGAAACTTATTTAAAATATTACTGGAAAATGTTTATACATAAACTTTATCATCACAGCTGATTGCACAGAAATAAATTCTTTTTAGTTAAGTCAGTGGATCCTTAAATGTTCCTGATAGAAGCTAAATCTACCTAATACGACTGTGCAGAGAATATATGTTGATCAGGTGAATGCTGAAAGCACTTCTATAAGCACAGGTTTAATCTTTACATCATAGTAGAAGCAAATAATGCGTAGTAAGCTACTTCTAGTTTTTAACATTTTTGGTTAAGGCTTGAATGCTGCTTCTAAAATTTTTTGGTAGGTTTTTAGAAGTGTAGCCACAAAACAGTCCTTAAAATTAGGAAGGCTGCAAAAAAAAAAAAAAAACTTAAAAAAAAAAAGGCTGCTGAGAACACTATAATAATCTACCCAATACTTACATCCTTTTGTGTTACTTCACCTTGGCTTTTTCCACATTTCCACTTCAGCTTTCTAGAGCCCACTGGATCAGCCCACGTATAAAACACTGCTTTTCCAGGAGGGAGAGAATCTTCTATTTCACTGAGAGAACTGATATACGTAGAAAAATAAGCATTAAATTAAATGTGAGTACACGAGTATACAAAAAATCCAAAATAATGCTTCATTAATTCTTAGTCCATTAATTGAATGATAGCTCTGATTAAAACTATTGAAATTTTTCTCTATACAGTTCTCTAATGAATACTTTTCATTATACTCCTACTTGGAAAATATCTGTTCCACTTAGGAAATAAAGGTCTACGAAGTCTTTAAACATACTTTGTCAATTTTTTAATACAAATTAATTATGGAAAAATTATTCCATTTACTTTATCTTATCTATACTACTTCTAAGAGAATTTAATTGATAACCCTTTCCTAAGTATTGATTTCACTATAGTAAAAACATAGCTCAATTATTTTTGAAAATCACAACACACAGGATACAAATCTAAGAAATCCAATGGACTCAACAGAAAGAGTCTCAGAAAGAAAAAAATATTACAAAAGTTATAAACCAAAGAAATAATAAAATATAGCTTTTCTGACCTGAAGAAGGAGCTTACCCTGCAGACTAAAAGACTTTACTGGGTATCAGACAACATTAATAAAAACAGAATATCATCCGAGACACATCTTTGTCAGAAAATTGAGGGAAAAAAACCCCATAAACATCTAGGAAAATCATAGTTACCCACAAAGGAATAAAAATGCTAGTCTCACACTTTTTATTATATTGAATGTCAAAAAAACCCACAGCACAGTGTCTACACAACTTTGAGAAAAAAGGTTATCACTTAAAGCAGTGATTTCCAACCTTTTGGCACCAGGGACCAGTTTCATGGAAGACAATTTTACCACAGATCGGGTGGGGTTGAGGGAGGGATGGTTTTGGGATGATTCAAGCACATTACATTTATTGTGCAGTCAAATCTCTCTGCTAATGATAATCTGTATTTGCAGCCACTGCCCAGAGCTAGCATCACCACCTCAGATCATTAGGCACTAGATTCTCAAAAGGAGCACGCAACCTAGATCCCTCACATACACAGTTTACAGTAGGATTTGGTCTTGGGAGGATCTAATGCTGTCGCTGATCTGACAGGAGGCAGAGCTTATGCGGTGATGCCAGTGATGGCGAGCAGCTGTAAATACAGACGAAGTTTCACTTGCTTGCCAGCTGCTCATCTCCTGCTGTTAAGCCTGGTTTTCAGAAGGCCACAGACTGGTACCAGGCCATGGCTCGGGGTTTGGGGACCACAGACTTAAAGTTTTATGTCAAGTTGTCATAAATTTGTAAGAGTAAGATATTTCAAAGAAGGAACAGAATTACAGATTCTACAGAAACCCTTACTAAAAAAACAACAGAATTTTTCTACCCACGTTAGAGATAACTCAAAATAATATCTTAAGAACTAGGATGGGCCAGGCGCGGTGGCTCACGCCTATAATCCTAGCACTCTGGGAGGCCGAGGCAGGCGGATTGTTTGAGCTCAGGAGTTCGAGACCAGCCT